TAAAATTTAAAACCTAATCTTAATTTTAAAAAACTGGTCTAAATCTCCGTTTCTGAACGGTCCTGCAGGAGATGAAACTGTAAACGTGAGGCAGCTGCTGAGGTCGTTTCATCTTCTACCTCTTGTTCATGGTCAGGTCACAGAGGCAGCAGGTCCAGGAGAGAAACACAGACTTCCCTCTCCCCGGAGAGTCCACTTCCTCATGGGGGGTGTCATGGTGTTCCCAGACCAAAGAGGAGAGATAATCCCTCCAGAGTTCTGGGTCCTGGGGGTCTCCTTCTAGTGGGACATTCTCTGAAAACCTCCAAAGGAAGGCAGGAGGCATGGTAATCAGAAGCACCTCCTCCTCTGACTCTACTCCGAGCTCCCCCCTGGATGACGGAGCTCCTCACCTCCTCTCTGAAGCTGAGTCCCCCACCCCCACCCCACACACAGGAAGCTCATTCCAGCTGCTTGGATCCAGGATCTGTTTTTTTCTGCGTTGAAACGTAGACAGACCAGGAAATCCAGAGCTTTGCCTTTAGATTCAGCACTTTCTCCAACCGGAGCAACGGTCTCATTACTAGGCCCTGATCCACTCCATCTCCCAGTCCGTCCTACTTCTGGTCGGAGCCTCCAGTCCAAACCCCGTCTGCCGCTCCGCCGGGGAGTAACAAAATAATGTCCACGGTCAACAACACAGTTCTGCCAGCTGTGCCAGCTGTGCACGCAAAAATAAAACATGCTTTTCAAAAACTGATCACTCTGAACACGTCCACAGGACTCGATTTATTTTTCATTTTCATTGACCCTTTATTTATCCAGGTAGTCCCATTGAGCCACAAGAACTAATTTTCAAGAGAGACCTGTTTAGGGAGCAGATGGGGGTTAAGGGCCTTGCTCATGGGCCCTGAGTGGGGCGAATGAGGGTGGGGGCAGGTGTGGGTACTTCACCTACACCACCCACATTTTTGATGTTGTCGGTACCGGGGCTTGAACCGGCAAGCTTCCGATCACAGGCCCACCTTCTCTAACCTCTGTGCCACCACTCCCCACCACTCCCTTGATGGAGGTCTGGTCGCAAAAACTCTGAGTTCTGTGAGACTTCAGTTTAGAAGCTTGGGCCAGTGGGGTACCAGCAGGACTCTGGGATCGTATGAAGACCAGCAAGACTCTGGGGCTGTATGAAGACCAGCAGGACTCTGGGATCGTATGAAGACCAGTAGGACTCTTGGGCCATATGAAAACCAGCAGGACTTTGTGGTCATATGAAGACCAGCAGGACTTTGTGGT